GGGAGGAGGGGAGGAGGGGAGGAGGGAGGAGGGGAGGAGGGGAGGAGCAAGCAAACTGTAGGGGAGTGGAGAATGACGGAGAGACGAGGAGAGGAAAAGGTGATGGAGAGCATAGCAGGGAAGAGGTAAGGAACAGCGGAAGATGGAGGGAAGCAAGAGGACAAGACAGGAGGAGGGACGAGAGGAGTTGAGAGCAGAGGAAGGGAGAAGATGAAGAACGATGAGGAGAGGAGAGGAGAGGAGAGCAGAGCAGAGCAGAGCAGAGCAGAGCAGAGCAGAGCAGAGCAGAGCAGAGCAGAGCAGAGCAGAGCAGAGCAGAGGAAGACCTGAAAATCCTGCTGAGAGCGTTCTAGGGCTGCCTGCAGCTCTACATCCTCCTCCTGCCCTTGCCCAAAGTTCCTCCTGCCCCCACGACCAGCAGATGCCTCGGGAGGGCCACCCCGCCGATCTCCCCTCCTCTCCCCTCCTCCTCCTCCTCCTCCTCCCCTTCGATCGCCTCCTCCTCTATCCCGCCTCCTCTGCACGTCCTCTGAGCTGCCGGCAAAGAGAGCAGCGAGGATCTGCCCTGCTTCCCTCCTCAGCGCCCTGACGTGGTTCTGCGCGTTCTCGCTGCTGCTATCCTTCTGGTCGTACACGTGAGTCACGCACGCCTTGCCGCACTTGTTCCTCTCCAGATACGCGTCCAGCTCCACCACCTCCTTCCTCTCCAGCGGCCTCCTTGACACCGGGTGGACGAAGTTGGCAGAGGAGACGAGATAGTTGGCAAGGACTCTGCCGTCGAACCAGTAGATCTTCTCCGAGGAGGACGGGAGCTCGAACGGCTCATATTTCAGCTTCTTCAGCGGCTCCAACGATATCACATCCTCCTCATCCTTGAGATTTCTCCACCAGTACGCGCGTAGTCTGATGTGCTTGCCCTGCGTGTCCTGTACCTCCCCGTCCTCCCCTTCCGAGAACTGGACCATGTACCCCTTCTCAGTCTTCTTGGTGCGGAATCCTCTGCGCCACTTCTTCTCAGCGTAGCAGAGAGCATCGCAAGGGATCCGAGACGTCGTACACGGTTCCTCCCTCCTCTCCTCCTCCTTCCTCTCCTCCTCCTTCCTCCCCTCCTCCTTCCCCTCTCCTGCGCCCTCCTCCTCAGCGACCCCTTGCACAGGGGGCGGCCCATCGCTCACAGGAGGAGAGGAGACCCCGAGCTGGGATCTCACGATGACAACATGGACAACAGAGCCGCTCGCCAGGTTGAACTCCTTCAGTGCTCTCTCCCCGTCCAGCTCCTTCCCCGAGAAGATAAGCCGCAAACTACGCTCGGCCTCCTCCTCCCCGATGGCATGCTGCAGCTGCTGCCCAACCTTCCTCTTCAGGTCCACAGCAGACGCACTGGAGGGGACCTCGACAGAGACGCTTCGATCCTCGGACACGATCTTGACTGCCAGCTTCAACATGTCCGCCCGCTCCTTCCCGTTCATTCCGGTCCTCCCTCCTCCCTTCTTGCCAGGGTTCCCTGGCCCCTGCTTCTGCTCCTTCCTCAGAGTATCTCCGAAGCTCCTTTGCTCTTGGCGGCTGCCGCGATTCCTTGAATTGGAGCCTCGACCCTCCTGGTTTCCATTTTGCGTATCCTCGGCCGCCAGTCCCCTCTCCATCGTACAAACGTCAACAATTCAGATTATCCTGACCTGCAACGAGGGGGTGTGGGTGTTAGTGATGGAGGCTGGAGCAGCAGATAGGAACAAAGTTGAGGAAGAAGAAGATGTAGAGACGCCGACAAGCTCAACTGAGTCAACACTCCATGACATCACCGTACCACCACTACTACCACCATCGCCACGAAGCACATCCCATGCCTCATCCACGGAAATCATCTACTCTCTTTGTATGCTGTGAACATCATCATCACCATCATCCTTATCATCATCATCATCATCATAATTCTATCATCAAACGCATCGTCGCTCCCCCCTTGCTCCCTTCATTCCCTTCGCTCGTCTCTTGCACATGCCAAATGGCCTTGAGCATGGATGGGCCCAAGGAGTACCCCCTACCCATACATAATGTACCCCCACCTCATTCATTTTTCATGTACCCCATGTCTTTGAACCCCACCCATTTCATCCATTGAAATTTCCACAGAAAAATTCCAACCAGTCCCCACAAATACACTAGGTACCCTACCCCTTGTATCCTATTGGGGTCTTCAAAGAGACGACCCACCCTACCTGTGTAAGTGAAACACACAAACCCTTCTAGACCTCCTCCCGTGCCAGTACAGTCAGTGGTAGTTCAGAGACTCATCCCCCTCAGTCACCATGGCAACCGTGAGTGCCAGGGCCCGGCCCGGAGTCGGCAGGTCCGAGCCGGGCCCCCGGCGGGCCGGGCCCGGGCCTGGAGCGGCCTGACGTTGAAAGATCCGACGATGATCCAGGCCTGGACCAGATGCGTGTACCGTAGTACACTGAGCATCCAGCGAAAAGACACTGACAGGTTCAGAGAATCAACCGTCTGCCGGGCCCGGGGGCCGGGCCGCGGCCTCCGACTCCGACGCTCGATTGGAACCTGAGTAAAGATAAAAGTAGGAACCCGTGACGTCCAAACTTTTGCCGTCGGGAGTCAGGCCCGACACTCGAGTCCGCCGCCGATCAAAAGAAAAACTTGTGTCCAGATTTGGGTACAAAATTACAAACATTTGTTTTCTTGTTGTACTAAGTAATATTTACTTTTAAATATTTGATTACAAAATTGAGACTGGTACGAAATGTCATTATAAATTCTGCGTATCTGACCATTTCATTTCAGCTGGTACCTCAAATTGAAAAGTACCTCTGCTCTTTACTCATTTTACAGAAGGAAGGACGGGTAGTGAATCGATAGGACCCTGCAAATTTCAAATGGATCATTTAAAAATGTTGCCGGAGTTTTATACATGACAGACATTTCTGGTTTAACATCTACCGCTTTTGTACCGGTACTTTTACCCTGTAAAAGTCTCATTAAAAGGGGTAGGGTACTTTAACTATTATCACTTTACTCCTGCGACCGGCTGCATCAACTACCCCACCAACTCATTTGGTACCCCATGTTCTGACAAAAGCTATCTACCCTACCCCCTATCATATTATTTTACCACTATCATTCAATGAGATTTGCAGGAAAATGTACCCCTCCTCACATGTACCCACCCTTCTTTTACCTGATAAGTATCCATCCCTTCCACCCTCCACCCCTTCTTCCCCGACACCGTCGGAAACATTCTGCCGACTACACGATCGTCATATTGCTCCTTGGAGACAACTACTTCGTATACGACACTCGCATCAACCCTCGTGTGACCTCTTGCTTGCTGTTGATATCCTCTCCTCTCCTCTGCTCCTTGCTCTCCTTTGAGCATCCCTCCCTGCAACCAATCTCGTGCTGTCCTTGGACTCGTCGCTTCTTCCCATACTCCCGTGAAATTTCTTATATCCTCTCTTGCTATCTCCCACAAGGTCAACCATCGTGCGCGATCCTCTTGAGCCTTGCATATCTTCTGCTACTCGTGTGGAACCCTTCAAACAAGCATGTCTTCAGTAGAAGAGCTCCTTTTATCTCCTTCCATTGCAGGAATCCTTCTTGAGCCAGAATCGTCTATTAGCCACATAAAGCTGCAACACTACGTCCAGTCGGCGGTCAGCGAAAGAACCTTCATGATCATATCAACATCGTTTGGTTTTCTTTTCGCCATTGCGATGTTTCTCATCTTCGGATTGGTCTGGTTCAACTGGTGGGGCGGCAAATTGGATGACATGGAGCGATCTATCGAAGAGAATCTGATCATGCTGAAGAGAGCGTTAGAGAAGGAGAAGATTTCAAGCTACAGCTGCTCATACGTGTTGAGATCTCCAGCGAGTAGCACATGCTCGTTTCACCTCTCAACACCCACGAACAGGAGGAGGCCGCCACCCCTTGCTGTATCAAGGATAAGAGAGTCTGAACCCATGGTCATCTGAGCTTGGACAACCATTTAGCATGCTTGTTCCTTTGCAGTTTTCCCCTTGTTTTTCCTGCATGTATGTAAAACTAAATCCCAGATCTCGAACTTGAACTTACTTCGGTTTTCGAACACCCTAGTACTTCCTCAGAACCTGATTTCAAGTTTCACAGTGCGATCCGATGAGCAAACTTGTCCGATCATCGGATCCGTGATCGGACAACGGGTCTGACATTGCCATGTACTTGTCACGAACAAAGCCTCAATTGCAATATTCTTTGAGTCGTAGCTTCAGAACTCGGAAGTCACGGTCACGGTCGCCGGTCACCGCACGGTGCTTCCGAGCGGCTCACCGTGCCTGTCACCAGCCTGAGGCTGATCATGATCAGCGGATCAAGTCCGACTGATGTGAATTTGAGAAGACTCGGAGGTTTAGGAAGTTCAGTAAACAAGCTGTACAGTCACCGTCACCACCGGGAGTACCGTACTACCGTCGTGACCGTGACCGCGGCGGTCACCAGGCTGGCCGGGCGGCAGGTCCGAGTCAGAGCCTCGAGCCTGTCGCGGACGATCGATCCGGCCCAGGCGACTCCCATGACCCCGGCCGATCCGGACGGCCTCCGAACTTCCGGGACCGCACTGTAGTCCGACCCTACAGTGATGGCGGGCCCGGCCTCCGCCCGGCGCCCGGGCCGACCGGGACTCCGCAAGCCTGTTAGTCCGTTAACTCGATCACTCAGGGCCTGAGGCTCCGCCGGGCGGTCGGGCCCGCCGGGCGGTCGGGCCCGCTGGGCCCGGGCCCCGCCGGCCCACGGCAGGGCCCACGGCAGGGCCCACGGCAGGGCCCACGGCCCGGCCGGCAGTACTGCCAAGTTGCAAACCGTCTTTAGTTCACCGTTACAATGTAACTGTCATCCCGAAGAGGCGTGCCCTTTAGAGAATTTTTCTCAACCTGACCCACGACCCCCTCCTTTCCCATCCTGCTCAGGTAGAGACCAGGGGTGGAAGGCTCTGTGTCGGCCAGGGCGGGGATGCTGCCTAGCGCGGGGGAGGAGGCAGAGCATGCAGGGAGAAGGAGTGCGAAGATGAGCTCGAGGATCTTGATCAGTTGCTTGCTCGCTTCCCTTGTTGCTGTTTGCCTTCTCCTCATGCAGGTAAACTTCGACAGGGAGCCCAGTGCTCTAGTGCAGGTTCCTGAGACAAGCTTTACGTTACCGGCGAGCATGGATGGTATGCAAGGAGTGCCAGAGCAGGAGCTGAGCTATGCACCACCATCCCCTGAGAATGGATACCCTGATGTCGGCGTGGGGAGCTCTCTGGTTCAAGTTCCTCAGGATTATCAAGAGGTTCAAGAGGAGGAGGGTGTAGCTGGAGGGATGCAGCAAGGAGGGTTGACGTACATGCCGTCGACTGCATCCGGAGGAATCAGTAGCAGGGATCAATCCCCTGGCATCCCACAGACGTTCCTCACCAAGGAATCCATGCTGAAGAGAAGACTGAAAAGAATGGCCTCGGCGCTGAAGAAGTCGCGCAAACACGAGGACAAGTTGAAAAGCCAGTTGGTGGAAGCTAGTGATTTCGTCAAGAGAGAGCTCAAGGACATCAAGGACGAGGTTGTGGCCTTCAACACCAAAGAAACTGATATGATCAACGCTCCCTTCCACCTTGTTCAGGGTCCAAGGTACGGTGACATGAGCTCATTTCTTCCTCTTTGACTTTGCTTTCAGGGGACCTCCCGGACTGCCAGGCATGAATGGACTGCCAGGCATGAACGGAAAGGATGGAATTCCTGGACCCCAAGGACCCAGAGGACCTGCAGGATTGTCTGGTCCCTCAGGTTCACCAGGACCTGAAGGAATCACGGGACCGAAAGGTGTTTGAGCTCCTTGCTCGCGTGGGGAAGGGTTTATGCTTTCATGGCAGGGCCAAGAGGCCAGTCAGGCGTCATGGGTTGGAGAGGAATCCAAGGTCGAGCAGGAATGGACGGTTTGCAGGGTGATGGTAGGTGAAGGCTGTGCATCAGATGTTGTTGTGACTTGATCTCAGCACACGTCACTGAATCCTGGAGGCCCTCGAGGTACTTCTGCCCTGGTGGAGGGAACCACTTCACCCGGTTGGTGGACTGTGACACTGGGTCATGCCGCCTGGAGGTCAACTACAACGGGTTCTGGGGAACCGTGTGCGGTCGTGGGTTCACCCAAGAGTCTGCGACGACAGTCTGCAAGGGCCTCGGATTCCCAGAGGGCGGAATCGCAAGGAGGCGGGGTGGCGGCACGGGACACATCTGGTTGTCGGATGTCAGATGTGAGTGTGATTGATGCGTGCGGTCAAGCTGTACCTTGACAGCATTGCAGGTCATGGTTTCGAGGAGGACATCGGAGATTGTCCCAAGAAATGCGGAGGAGCTGGATGTACCCACAGCGATGACGTCGGCGTCTGCTGCTGGGGTTTCAATGTTGGACCCTGGGTGATCTTTTTGAAAAAGAGGAAGACGAATGTGTGTAATCTGCTTGTTCACCAGGGGATGAGAAACGCCACGAGAGACAGCTTCAACACTGTTCGGGCACTCCGAGAAGCCTGCTACATCCCCGATGCCTGCCCTCCTGTGTAAGAACCATCTGAATTTGTACATGAGGATACTGAAGTTTGATTGTGCAGTGCGGAGGAGAAGGAGGCAACCTTTGCCTCTAATTGCGACTTCACAGGATGGAAGACGACGTTTCCCGTTGGGCGATACAGCGAATTCCGCGGGGGAGAGTGCGACGACGATTTGGGCATGTGTACGCATTTAAATTGCCCCTTCCAACCCAATCAGCTTGCCTCGCTCGATGTTCCATCCGGATTGAAGGTTCTAGCATCTACCTTGCTGTGCGAACCTCGATTGACGTCAACAAAAACAGGTTACTCTATTCTCAAGGAGCTACTTCAGAGGAGATCACATCACATACGTTGGACCGAGAAAGACCGATTGTTTGACGTGGGAAGGATTTATGCGAAAGACCCAGTCAGTGCTGATTGAAAGCACCAAAAGACTTCCAGAGTCCCAGTGGGTGGTCAGGGTGGCCGCTTCTAGTCACCAGATCACATCCCTGCCCAGCATTTATGCCTTGAAGTACATCGGGCAGGCTAATGTCGACTTCATCAACTTTCCTGCAATTGGAAGACTTGGCGCATATGTCGCGCACGCGCCATCTGAAAAGGTCACAGCAGCGTTTTACGGATCCCTGAAAATCAACACCCCTGGACATTACACTTTCAGTCTCACCTCGGACGATGGCTCGAAGCTCTGGATCGCTGGAAAGGTGGTCATTGACAACAACGGAATCCACGGAGCTCTTACCAAGCGCCACGAGATGAAGCTTGACTCCGGGTATGTGGACATCATGGTCCAGATGTTCAACAACCTTGGGCCCGGGATGGTGCAGCTGGTGTACAAGGGCCCTGACACTGATGGCAACATGATGTTTATAAGGAGTGAAGGAAAGCACATTTCCCTCCCCACAGAACCAAGGCAATCAAACTGGGCGATACGGACGTTCAAGACAGACCGCCAGATTACCAGGATCCCTGACGTCTACACAATGCAGGTCGTCGGTGACAAGAATGGGTTCGACATGCCATACTTCCCTAACGTGGCGGCGTTCCAACGTATCGTAAGGGGAACGCCGTCCTCCAACTTCGCCTGGGTGTTGTACGGCTCCCTCCTGATCGAGGAGGCGGGATCGTACCTGCTCTGTACCTCCTCCGACGACGGCTCGCAAATGATTGTAGACGGGGATCTGTTGATAACCAACGACGGCCTGCATGGACGTGAAAGGAAGTGCCGCCGCAAGACTCTAAGCGCTGGTGATCACAAGGTCGTCGTAGAGGGCTTCAATCACTACGGCGCGGCCTACCAGCGCGTCACGTACCAAGGACCTGACACGGGTAACAGCCTGATCACGATGCTCAGCAAGGGCAAGGGATGTGGCGACCTTCCGGCGCTGCCGATGCCGTCGAAGTTCCTGATGCGCATGTATGCGGCGCCGTACAGCTTGACCGATGTGAACCCGCCTTCGCTTCTCAACTACGTGGGCAAGGCACACGTGGACTACTTGTTCTTCGACGACCTGAGGCAGTTCCGCCGCCTCATCCCCAAGACTCCCTCGGCAAACTACCAGTGGGAAGTGTACGGGACCCTGAACGTGCACCGGGAGGGCTCGTACCATTTCTGCACAACCTCCGACGACGGAAGTCTCTTGCTTGTGGACGACATTCTGGTGGTCGACAACAACAAACCCCACGGACCTGTCGAGCGATGCGGGTCCATCACCCTCAAGGCCGGCATGCACCAGCTACACCTGCCGGGCTTCCAGCAAGGAGGCGGCGTGTTCCTGGAGGCGACGTACAGGGGACCTGACACGGGCCACGTGACGAGAGCGTTGAGGTCGGACGGGCTGTCAGGGATCCCGGAGAAGGTCGCGCCGTCGGAGTGGATTCTCAGGATGTACAAGAGTCCTATATGGGGGCTTACGACGTTGGCAGATGCTTATATTCCTTTCTTGAACTTTGTTGGAGAGACCAAAGTCCAGGTGATAGACTATCGCAGTAACGGAGACTTCATGCGCGCCGTCTCTGGTACTCCCGATCACGATTACGCTTGGGAGTTTATCGGCGCCGTCCCCATCGAGACGGCAGGGAAGTATACCTTGTGCACTACGTCGGACGATGGATCTGCCCTCTACCTGAAAGGCAAGGAGATCGTCACCAACGACGGCCTTCATGGCGGCGAGAGGCGATGCGCGGCAGTAGAGCTGACAAAGGGAGATCACAACGTGCGGGTGGTGGGCTTTCAGCACTACGGAGGGGCGATGGAGGTAGCGACGTACTACGGGCCGGACACATACGGGCAGGAGGTTCGTCTTCCCAGCGTTTCGAGGAAATCAGCCAATGTACGTCGATCCAGCTCCACATGGATCATGAGGGTAGCAGTGTCGGATATGCAGATTTCCGCCTTACCGAGCATTAGTGCCTTGAAGTACATCGGGCAGGCTAATGTTCGAATCATCAACATGAACCGGAATGAGGTCTTTCGACACTACATGCCAAACATGCAATTGGAGAAGTACACAGCAGCGTTTTACGGATCCCTGAAAATCAACACCCCTGGACATTACACTTTCAGTCTCACCTCGGACGATGGCTCGAAGCTCTGGATCGCTGGAAAGGTGGTCATTGACAACAACGGACTCCATGGAGCTCTTACCAAGCGCCACGAGATGAAGCTTGACTCCGGGTATGTGGACATCATGGTCCAGATGTTCAACAACCTTGGGCCCGGGATGGTGCAGCTGGTGTACAAGGGCCCTGACACTGATGGTACTTGGAGGTTCGTGCCCAGCCATAAGTCCAAGATTAAACTGCCCGAATCACCCAAGAATTCAAACTGGGCGATACGGACGTTCAAGACAGACCGCCAGATTACCAGGATCCCTGACGTCTACACAATGCAGGTCGTCGGTGACAAGAATGGGTTCGACATGCCATACTTCCCTAACGTGGCGGCGTTCCAACGTATCGTAAGGGGAACGCCGTCCTCCAACTTCGCCTGGGTGTTGTACGGCTCCCTCCTGATCGAGGAGGCGGGATCGTACCTGCTCTGTACCTCCTCCGACGACGGCTCGCAAATGATTGTAGACGGGGATCTGTTGATAACCAACGACGGCCTGCATGGACGTGAAAGGAAGTGCCGCCGCAAGACTCTAAGCGCTGGTGATCACAAGGTCGTCGTAGAGGGCTTCAATCACTACGGCGCGGCCTACCAGCGCGTCACGTACCAAGGACCTGACACGGGTAACAGCCTGATCACGATGCTCAGCAAGGGCAAGGGATGTGGCGACCTTCCGGCGCTGCCGATGCCGTCGAAGTTCCTGATGCGCATGTATGCGGCGCCGTACAGCTTGACCGATGTGAACCCGCCTTCGCTTCTCAACTACGTGGGCAAGGCACACGTGGACTACTTGTTCTTCGACGACCTGAGGCAGTTCCGCCGCCTCATCCCCAAGACTCCCTCGGCAAACTACCAGTGGGAAGTGTACGGGACCCTGAACGTGCACCGGGAGGGCTCGTACCATTTCTGCACAACCTCCGACGACGGAAGTCTCTTGCTTGTGGACGACATTCTGGTGGTCGACAACAACAAACCCCACGGACCTGTCGAGCGATGCGGGTCCATCACCCTCAAGGCCGGCATGCACCAGCTACACCTGCCGGGCTTCCAGCAAGGAGGCGGCGTGTTCCTGGAGGCGACGTACAGGGGACCTGACACGGGCCACGTGACGAGAGCGTTGAGGTCGGACGGGCTGTCAGGGATCCCGGAGAAGGTCGCGCCGTCGGAGTGGATTCTCAGGATGTACAAGACTGACCTCTGGCACCTATACAACTTAGCTCAAGGAGACCCTGAGCTCTTAGATTATGTGGGAGAGACCAAAGTCCAGGTGATAGACTATCGCAGTAACGGAGACTTCATGCGCGCCGTCTCTGGTACTCCCGATCACGATTACGCTTGGGAGTTTATCGGCGCCGTCCCCATCGAGACGGCAGGGAAGTATACCTTGTGCACTACGTCGGACGATGGATCTGCCCTCTACCTGGAAGGCAAGGAGATCGTCACCAACGACGGCCTTCATGGCGGCGAGAGGCGATGCGCGGCAGTAGAGCTGACAAAGGGAGATCACAACGTGCGGGTGGTGGGCTTTCAGCACTACGGAGGGGCGATGGAGGTAGCGACGTACTACGGGCCAGACACATACGGGCAGGAGGTTCGTCTTCCCAGCGTTTCGAGAAAGAAGGTCCCTCCAGTGCCAAAGGCTTCTGACTGGAAAGTGAGAGTGTACTCGACAAGTTACAGCCCGTTCCAGAGAGTCCCTGATGTGTCGCACATGAACTTTGTTGGGCAAGCAAGCGTAAAGTACATTTGCTTCCGCAGCCTCAACGAAATCCGAAGGATAGTTCCCAACACCCCAGGATCCAAGTACGCATGGCAAATCTACGGAAAGGTCAGGGTGCGTCACGGAGGAGACTACTCGTTCTGTACTGAATCAGATGATGGTTCAAAGATCTACCTCGAGAAGAAGTTGATAGTTGACAACGACGGTCTTCATGGAGCACTGAAACGATGTGGGCGGGTCCACCTAAACCCTGGACTGCACGACCTGGTCCTTGTGGGTTTCCAGAACTACGGCGGAATCTACCAAGACCTCACCTACTCCGGCCCTGACACCGGGAACCATGAGATCTATGTCAAGAGCGAATCCTCAAGCAATGCTCCGTCGAACGTGAATGGGAAGGAGGGTGAGTTCGGTACTTGGCCTCCTAGGTAAGGAATCAGAGGAATGCATGGAGGCATGTTTGCCTGCTCAAGTTCACTCTTGTTATGCCATCTCGGATGGTTGTTGTCTTCATCGTTGTGTGCTTTGTTTTATTCCATGAAAAGGTTATTCTGCTGTTTCGATCTTGGTGTTCATCACCGCAATTCTTCTGAATAGTTGAGATCTCTTCACTCGACAACATCATCCTGCACCACACAACAGCCTTCTAAAAGCTGCCGCGAACCATTTTTATTGTTGAACTCTAATTCTTGTGTCCATTAGTCAGTTCTACTGATCAATGATTCCTCAATTCAGTCTATTCAGACATTTCCTGACTCAACTCCAACATGTCGCACCCTCAACGGCGTGATTTGCCTGCACAACTCCTCAAATAATACACGATAATGATTGACACTAGAACGATGATACGATCAATCGAAATCTCTCTCGCTCTCTCTCTTCCCCTCCATCTCTCCCTCTCCCTGCCTCCCTCCCTGGCTCCCTCCCCCCCTGCATCTCACCCCTTTCCCCCGCCTCTGTTTCTCTCTCATACTAATATTCAGTGGATGTGTTCAAAGCTCTCTCTCCAACTTTCTCAGAACCAGTATCTTTGTACACAAACAGCACAAGTATCTTTGTACACAAACAGCACAAGTGTCTTTGTACACAAACAGCTCATGCTTTTTGAGGAGCAATGCTACTGTTGAAGCAAGACTGACGCCATGGCACTGCTAGTCTAGCAGGTTGAGGCGCTCAGCATGATGACTCGGGCGGATGTGATTGCATATCGTCGTATCTCCATGGGAGAATAGTTGAAGGTTTCAACCTAGTCAGAGATTGTTCCACTCCAATATCACCATCCTCGACCCGTCTACGCTGTTGAGGATGCACATGCTACTGCTGCTCTACCTCCTCCTACTACTGCCTCTACTGCCGCTACTGCCGCTACTCCTCCTCCTCCTCCTCCTCCTCCTGCCTCTACTGCTGCTCCACCTCCTCCTCCTCCTGCCTCTGCTACCTGTGCTACCGCTACCTCCTCTGCTGCTGCTGCTGCTGCTACCAGTACTGCCCCTCTATCTGCTGCGATCGTGCCGTTACTACCGTTGCAAGGCGCAACGCGCTGCGGGTCCGTTACGGTAGCCCACGTCAAATCTGAGGCGGGTGATGACGTCGACGGTTATAAGCTGTTACATGACTAGATGGTTTCCCCGTGACCATGACCCTTCCTCGGATATAAGACCAAAGCAAAGTACCCCCACCTTTGATAGGCATCTGTTTGTAAAATGTACCGGTAGTATCTATCCCCGTCGTGTAACGATTACTTCAGCCCCCTCATCCAGGGGTACCTCATGATAACACAGAATTTTCTTGGGAAAAAGGGGGTGGTCTAACCAAAAAGCTCAGGGGTGGTATTTATCGAACCCTCGAAGTAGCCACTCAGTGTCATAGGGGTACTCGAATCAGCCGTAGGGGTAGTCGAGTGTAAAATCTCTTGTAAATATGGCTGGGTGGTATGGCCTATAGGGTACTGGTACCTCAAGAATTTCGATGACGGGTACAAGAACAGGTAACCAGTAGGGGTCAGAGGGGGTACCTTACTCATGATGTCAAGAACGAATTGAGGGGGTACGGGTAGTACTACTATCGTACGTCGACCGGCAGCGCGATAGAAGCATTATTGTCGAAAAAGACGGTAGGGGTAGTGAAGGCGTAAGGGAGGCGGACTGCAAGGTTAATACAGATCGGGTAGGGTACTTGTAGGGTGGGTGGGGTCCATTTGAACATTGTGGGGTGGTCTGTTGAGAGCGGGAAACTCTCAGTGGTAGGGTGACTGTCATGGGTATTCATACATGGGGTACTTGCTAGTGTGTTTAATGGGGGTACTAACGGTGGTTTGACAGTGGGTGGGGTGTAAAAGTTTGTTTGTTGGTGCTGATGATGAAGTATCGTGACTTGGTGAGGACCCCTCCTCCTAAGGGAAGCTATGGATGTTACTGGAATCTTGCTCCCACCCCTGTGACGTCCCAACAGTTTCATCCAGGGACACCCGTGGTAGTCCTACAGGCCTCCAAGCAACCCCATCTAAGGGGGGTGGGGTATGTTCCGTAACGGTCTTTAAGCTATTTGTACGAAATTATCAAAAAGTATTATTAGGTTGTAGTTCCATGTACCATTGTGATTATGAGTGAATACTTTTCGGTTAAAAAAGGGTTGAGTTAGAGTTTTTCTCGGGAGTAAATCTTTTTAAACTGGGTTTTGGTGGTACACGAATCATGCATTTCTGGTACAAATGGTGATCAAAACCTTCAAAGCCTCCAACAGTCCAGTACATAATTCAGGAATCAGGTACAAATGTTTAATATTCGTTACCAGGAATAGATTTATACTGTATACCGATAGCAACCCTCCATTCCTACTAGACCCAGGCCCTTGACCCCCCTCCCCCCTTGGGACTGAAGGCGGGTAAACTTGATTCTCGAAGCAATAAAATTTCGATGGGGGTGTACATTAGCACACCATCAATCAACTTTCAAATATTTTCAAGAAATAGTAATATATATTTCATAAATTATATTTATTTTCAGCAAATATTATGAAAAATGAATGCCCTGCTGGAAGCATTGAATGATGAGTTTGTACTGGAGAATCCACCTTGATAACCCCACCCCACGGTCCCTTTTCCCCTGAGATCCCCGCCCCCCCTCCACCCATGGTCGACAAGAGGACCCACCCCTACCCCCAGAATCGATCCGGCATTGAAAGTTTGCAATACTACAGTTGGCTACCCACCCTTTCTCCCATTCACACTTACCATGACCCCGGTCATATTACCCCACCCTCCCCTTCAACACAACCCGTGATTCTACCGGTGCTACTACCAGGGTAAGACTGGGTGGAGTAGCATCGCGAAAATAGACCCCTGCTTCCCGATCACCTCCATTCAGCACCCTACCCACCCCGTCGTAATCCCACCCCACCCCCGGCGTAAGAGCGTCAGACACTCGTGGCTTTCGTCCTCCCCTGCCGCAGCATGGGCGTCCTGCCATTGTCTTTCCCCACTCCCCTTCGTTGATCGTGCTGTATCTGCTGAAGAACCTCTCTGATCCCTGCTTCCTCTCAATCATCTAGTTCCATCCTTCGCTCAGATCTTAACACCTTGATATCTGATTCGTCCAGCGAGTTGCGCACACTTGGTCTGTGCCCCCAAAGCCGAGTAAGGATTGTGACCGAGCAAGGATTGTGACTGTGAAGAGTGATTTTGAGACTAGTTCGTTGAGTCACCTCAAGAATATGGCTCCGCCTCTTCCTGCGCACATTGCTTCTCCCGATAGCTTGGGCTCTCCTTATGGATATGGCTCTCCGCATTTGCAAGCAGAAACAAACGAGAAGCAAGACAGTGAAAGCAAGAGAACTAGAAATTATCAGCTCCCTCAGCTGAGTGGGTTACGATCCCCTAAAAGTCCTTCCAGCGAGAAGCAAAGCGTTAATGTAGATCAAGAGGTCGAGAAATCATATGATGAGCAGGCAACTGAGGATTCTGTGTGCGAAGAATCGTCCATCTCGAGCGAGACGAACTCTGAGACTGGTTCAAATCTGGGGACATTTGACTTGGCAAACCTGAAGATTTCTCCCTCGAATTCACAGAGCGGGTCACACCAATCTCAAAAATGCAAGCTTAAGGTTGGCGAACTGATCCGAGAAGACAACGTAGCGTTTGCACGACACAGCCGCACTTTCGTCAAGACGAACCAGTCATACAGGATGGCTCTGGATTGTGCAGACCCAGCAGGTGATGCTGGAAAGTACTGCACTGCGCTCGTCTGACTCCCTTTGAAGAGTTTTGTGTTGGTGTCATTCTTTCATTCTCCCAATGTCCCGAAGGTGCTTGTTGAGAATTCCCATTTTGTTTGGACCCGTGACTCTATTTGTGCAGCCATGCGATGCGATGTGTTGTGGGATAATGGAAAAGTCCTGAAGGGCTACAGAGTTGGATTCCAAGGAGCTTATGATTTGGAGGTTGCAGATTCTTCACGCAAGTAAGCAACGGATTTGCTACAGTTGCACTCTAGTCCTGACGAATTGGTCAGCCCTCGATCCGAAAATGTCTTTCAGTCTTTGGTAGATGACTCTAAACGAGGGTATGCGAATCGAATTGCAAGACGTTCCCACTGAAATGTTGCTGGAAGAACGCTCTCGCGATCAAGCTCTACAGACTCTCTTCAAGAGAATGATGGAGGCAGAAAAACATCTAATTGTACCACCAATTCCTGCCCGAGATCTGGGTAAGACTTTCGTTCTCAGGACTTCTGGTTTAATGCTCATTATCAGAATGTTCGGACGATTTTCCTTTGGAAAGAAGAAGCCAGTCGCAGGTTTTTACACGAATTTTATGTAGATTCAGCAGATCTGAATTTTACCTGACAGACAAAGCAAGCTTGGCTAGTTTCCAGCAATTGCAATCAAACGCGACAGGAACACACTCGCGGTTTTCAGGTTATTTTACAGTGCGAAATTCTAAATTAGGCTCATATGGAACTTCCAGGTGAAGGAATTCTTGTGGATATTTCAGTCGGTTACTTAGATCCACTGAATTCGATTTCACGAGCGTAGAGGCGTGGACTAGATAGTTAACAACGTAGTCATGTGGTTAATGCTGCATCCGAGAGGCAGATCAAGAGCAGCGCGATCAGCTTGATGTGTATTGTGGTCTCTGCAGATTGTATTCTTTATATTGTTTTTGCATGGAACAATATTTTCTCAGATTCTAATTTGGTTGACGAGAGTGGCCAAAGAACTGTCTGACGGTGTCGCACTGGGTATGGGACTCACTAAATTTACTCGATTCCGATCTTGATCAAGAACTTGCTGGCGGTCTCGTATCCCACGAAACATGCAGCATTGGCTGGGAAAGCACGTACGAGCACTGGGGTCAGTCCCTTATAGAATCCTTTGACCTGCTCAACATGAGGTTGCAGAAAAGAGTGAACTTGTCTTACTCCTTCTCTCGCCATGATGTCCCTTGCCACAGCAGTCACACCAGAATACTTTCCCGTCTCAGCAACCTGTGTGGATGATGATGACTGAGAAAGAGCCCACAAGAATCTCACCTGATATCGAGACTTGACCGTGTCGATAGGGAGCATTGCCATCCAGTTGGCCATGCCAGCAAAACCTGACGAGTTTCAGCCGCTCGCTGCAGTGCATTAGAAGTCACCTCCTGCACAGAAGGTAGCGAACACTCCAGGTTGCTTCTTGCCCTTGCATACAAGTCAACAATCAGCAACAACCAGCGGTATGCGGAGGCGATAAGAATCGTTCTGTTCAACCTCGGGAGTCCATTCCTTCTTGAGAAACTCGTAGGTTGCGAAGTAGAAGAAAGAAGCAACGGCGTCTCTGAAGCATCTGGTTTCTCTTCTCATCAGCGACAATCACGGAACAAGAAAGGCTCCTACGTAATTCCCGATCCACGGATAATGCTTGAAACCCCTCCCTCCTTGTACAATCCAGACACCAGCTCCTTGTACCTGCACAGAACGCACCGATCAACCACCATGTCGCATTCAGCACAGCGGCACACCCGTTGTACTTGGGCCCATGGTAGTGAGGACTTTCCATCGTCTGCAGGACGCACTTGAGCCTCTCTCCTGCAATTTTCATCACACTGGAGCAGCTCCGGCCAAGTGCCGAGAACCGGGCCCGAGGATCGGGGTAGTGAACAACGAAGAGGTGGCTCCAGCCAAGCCTGCAGCGCGTCAGAGTGAGAGAGTCGAGGACGAGCCGACAGGACAAACTCCATCGCACCGATCTGTGTTAGCTTCAACTTCTCAAAGGCATCGTTGTCACAGAAGATATGCTTCCCGACTCCATATCTGCGTTAGCAACGGCTTCAACGTGAAATGCAGCTGAGCTGGAAATATTACCCCAAGAAGCACAGGGCATACATAGGAGCAACTCCTGCACTCATAAAGGCGATCACAAGAGTGCAAGGGCGATGAAGTCTTATAGAGCTGAATCACCCGCCAATGGCGCTGCCATTCCACGATACAATCCCTTGAACTATGTGCACATCGTCATCACAATATCATTCTTCATCTCGGGGCCTACCCCTTCTTTCTCCACGATCTTCTTGGCACAGTCTACCATCCCCTGCCCAATCAAATTCACACACAGCACCGCCCATCTCAAACTTGTCTTCCTTGTACGGCGCCTCTTGCCCGGGTACCACCTTGCAAGCAACTCAGCGCATGGCGGCGTGTGCATTTGCCGACAACTCACATGCATGGTCTGGATACGAACCTTGATCGTGTCCAGAGGATGTCCAACGAGAACCTGCAGCTATATCAGGACATCATGGGCGAGACAAACTCTCCCTACCAGGAAGATGCCTCCTACACCTCCGGCGAGGAAAGAATGCAAGTATCCGACTTGCTTCTGCTCTTCTGACATCTGTTCACTGCACGTCAAGCATTATTGAGCACAAGACAAGTCTGATGCGCAATCTTCCTCCGGGTTCTGAGCAAGTTGTAGTGGTGTTGTAACTTGCGACCGCCCTTGGGTCGCAAGTCACGGCAGGCTAGCAGTGTGCACAAAGGCTAGCAGGATGATGAAACCATGAAGATGAGATGAAGATCAGCATCAAATCTACTTGAATCATGGTTTTCCTGACTCAACTTGGACATCTCCATTCCGACCACAATCCCTCTCTCTTCCCAGCAAGAATTTTGCCATGATGATGCATTTCTCCCCTCAACAACAACACATCGCTCCTACAGATCATAGCAGACGCCTCTGCTGTCATCACAAGTTCAGCAACTTTATGTTTCGATCATCTGTCCTCTTCCTTTCCTTCCTACTCCTCCCTCCGCTCCTCCTGCTCCTCTCCCCCTCTTCCGCCTCTCCCAGCATTTTGCGTCAGTATGGGATTTCCTCCAGGGGTCTTTACCCTGTTTCACTACCGGTGAATTGTAATGAAAATATTCCGAAGTTACAGGGGTGGGTAGTCCCCCCCTGTGTTAAAATAACAATCCCCTGCATTCCATTTCCATGCTGGTCGGGGAACGTGGTGGACAAGGAAGGAGGCAGGGAGGGAAGAGAGGAGGAGGAGGAGAAGGAGAAGGAGAAGGAGGAGGAGGAGGTGACGATGACGATGACGATGATCGAGGACATGAAGGAGAGGAGGAAGGCTGTTGACCTGACCTCCTACTGTGTTGCTCTGTCGCAGGTGATGAGCTTACGGCCACTCGAAATTCGCGCCTGACTATGTGCAGTCGATCCTTCTAAACATCCTGTTCTCAGAGGAGATATTCTCATGGAGACAAGTCCGTGAAAATCTCCCTCCTAAGAATCCCATCTTCAAGGTGTCTGCGTAACGCTGATGATACTTTCTTGATCAAACTTGGGACAGCTCACCGAACACGCCATGGCATGGACGGAGCTGGTGAAGAGGCAAGTCAAGATGGTTCTCTT